GCTATGCACTTACCAAAATATCTAAATTGCACTACAATATTACAGACATATATATTTGGGATCAAAACAAGGCCTGTACATGTTTTTGCATCACCAGTGGAAACCAAGCCATTTACCACGATCCAGTTTCCCACAATTACTGTTAATAACGTTCCAGCTTTATATGTAAATGCTATTTGTGGGAATGCACTGTGCAACTTACATTACTGTACTCCGTAATGATGAATTAATGTTGTTTATGTGAAAAGAATATTTAAGTACTTTTTAACTTTATTATGATTCAGGCTCAATTGCACTCACTCCTCACTGTGTTTTCCTACTTGAACAGCACTCGTAGGGTGTATATACACTTCTAACTGTCCCTATGTTTATTCACTTGGCATGCAAATCAAAGTAAAAAAAAAAAACCTTTATTAAGTGTAAGACTGGATGCAGTCTGCTCCGTCTCTGCCGGTGTGGCTCTGCAGCAGAGCAGAAAAGCTCCGAAAAGCACCAGCAGTGTTCACACTGGCAGAGATAGGACAGCATGCAGCCCTGCCTTTCTTCAGATAAGACCCGGAAAAGCAGATTATTCCAACCTGTTTCCCTCTCCCTTTCCAGCGTGAGTGGAGGGTGAGGGATATTTTTAGGTTTGTGTGGCGCTGTTATCTGACGTTCCCTTTTCAACACTACAGAGGAGAGGGTGGCCAGAGAAGCCACATGACCTTGCCACCCTTTGGGCAATTGCCTGGCATTGCTGTTTCATTTTTATTATTTGTAAATGTCATCGCTAATTATTAATAAACACAGTGGCTCCCGTCTTCTTTAGTGTGTCTCAAATGTGCATTTGTCACTGTATTGTTTACAGTAAGATAGCAGACAATAGAGTATGTGTGAAGAGACCTGAGAGATGCCTAAGCATCTCTTACTTGTGTAAAGTGGCGGCAGTTGGACAGAGCCAATTTCCAGCCTGTTCGTATAGCCGCACACTTAGACAAAGCCTTTGGCTCTCTGTCAAGCAAATTGGGCCATTCTTGCATTTAGCACCAAGATACTGACAATTGAGTGTTTGGGTTTGTATCTGGATAAGTGGGCAGAGGTCTCTGAAGTGTACACGACACCACACTGATGGTGTAAACACGGGGATCGGGTGGCTAATGGGAGACCTCGGCAACTTCACATTCATTTAGTAAATTTGACTGTATAGAGCTTTGGTATTGTTAGTATTTAATACATCATTTTGATACTGGGTGTATGTTCAGTTGGAGAGTAACAGCTGTGTTACAATAAAAAGCGAAAGGTTATGTTACAGTAATTTTCAGTAATCCAGTGTACTGTCCATAAAAAGTTACATATATTTGATCTGGTCACACCTTGTATTTGCCACCATGTTTCCAAGTTCAGGGAATAAGACTATTGACTTTCAGGAACAAAGAGAAGATGAAGAAATAATTCATATAAAATTTATCTACATAAAAAACTGATCATTCGTTTCAGGTTTTCCGTATTGGAACCCAGTTTGAAACATTTTAAAAGGTCAAGGTCACGGCTAGTCAAAGCAACCTTATAAACATGTGTAAAAAGTAGATGCAGCTGACAGTAGGTTGTAAAAAAAGTGTAAATATTTAACAACCTTTTACCTTGTTGAAGCCTACTGAATGAAGCTTTCTAATAGGTACTTGAGCAGTTTAACCAGAAACAAACCATGGGGTGGTTTGATAGATGTCAGATTTTTTATTTTATTTTTATGCATGTTTACCAGTATATAACCCACAGGTGTGCATTATATGTGCTGTTAAAATTATCGTTTTTTTATTGGATGATTTAGTTGAATTCTTGTGGGGGGTTTGTGATGTACAGTTAGATAACAGAGCCAAAACAGACACGATGAGGACGTGGTTGTATGCTAAAAATTTTAATGATAATAATAATGGTAGTAACAATAATAATATAGAATATATATACAATTATATCATATAATTAAGTTGTAAGTTGTTTTGTTTTCCACCGAAAATACTTTTCGTAAAAAGAAATATGTAATAACCACCTTAAGGAAGGTATGGAAAAATAGAAAGTGAAATCTGGCAATTTTTAAAATTAAAAAATGGCATTTATTATTTTGTTTTTCGCTCAAATTAAATGTGCGCTAAAAATAACTTAAAATGTAACACGTTTAGAGAAAAACTGGTGCTGAATTCAAACGGAAACTACGAGAAATAATTCATCAAATATAAGTAAATTACACAAACTCCTCAATGTTTTAATTCGTCGGTATACACGCATGCAGTCATAAAATACTATTAAGGTAAATTAACATCTTTTTTTCTTCTTCTTCTCTTGTTTACCACGTCCTAATGCCGTGTAAGGAAGACACCCCGTTACTGGAGGAGTATGTGTTCTGGACGTTGCTGAAATCCCCTACTCCAAAGTTCATGTAATTGCCGTTGCTGGAGGTACCTTGCATAGTCTGCATTGCGGCTGCGGGGTAATTGCATGCATAGTTCGTGTTGCAGCTGGAGCCGGTGTAGTTGCTGAAGGCTGTGTAGTTGTTATAACTAAAATGGTTAATGTGACCCATACTGTAGGAAGGATTGTAGCTGGTCGCGTCACTCGCGAGACAGGGCTTCCCATCCCTCACCAGCACCGGCACCGACACCCTCCTGGGCGGCGGCAGGGACACCATCTCCAGGCTCTGGTCCTGCTTCTGCCGCTTGCACTTGTACCTCCTGTTCTGGAACCAGATCTTCACCTGCGTCGGGGTGAGTTTGAGAACACCGGCGAGGTGATCTCTCTCCGGGGCCGAAAGGTACCGCTGCTGTTTGAAGCGGCGCTCCAGCTCGTACACCTGTGCCTGGGAGAAGAGGACCCGGGGTTTCCTGCGCCTCCGAGGCTTGGGCCGGTCCTGATCATCGGCCTTTATGTCCTCCACAGACTCTGACGGAACACTGAATTCGCCTGATTAAGACAAACACAGACAGAAAAAGCACAGAGAAATAACTGAATTAGATTAGAATTCTTCACGATTTTAGAATTTATATTCATATTTTTTATTTTGCGCTGTTATAACGATCATAATAATTGGCACAGGTTCGGGCAGATTGCCCGGCCACCCGTGCGACCAATCATTCCTAATATGATTTACGCACAACGCTATGATTTGTCATTTCATACCAAAGACGTCAATGATAGTTTGGATTTTATTACATTTTTCAAATTAATTTTCAAATCAGTATTAAAGTTCACCAACTTTCATTTATGTTTAAATTTCAAAGGTTTCATTTTAGGGCCTTTGTCCAGCAGCCCCCGTTTTTCTTGTATACTTTCTTGTGGTACTTATTGCTTTAGTGCAGATAACATTCAGAGAATCTGCCATTATTCAAATCAAGCACATGTGTATCCAGGCCTAGGTTTAATGGGCCTCCCAACTAAAGACAATTCTTTCTTTAGCTCACCTTTTCTTCTTTTCCCCTCAAACGCATCAGATTTTCCACCCTTATCTATTTCCATCTCCATGAGGGATTTGCCATAAAAGGTGGAAGCAAAGTTAAGTGCATTGCCTCTGCCGGCTCTGGAGTCGTGTGTGTCCTCTACAAGAAGCGAGGCGGCGGTGGACGAGATGTCCCGGAGAGGCTCCTGCTTCATTCGGCCCAGCATACAAGAGGAGGAGGAGGATGTCGCCACGGTGCAGCAGTCCATGCGAGAACAATCGTCCAAAGAAGACGCCAGAACGTCATGAGTCTGCTCCAAGTTTAATATATCCTTAACAGAGAAGGGAGTGGACGTGCTAGGGCTGGGAAACATTGTCAAAAACCAGAAAAAGAAAAATAATCTGTTAATCTGTCACATGGAGGCCAAAAAGAAGTCACCAAAAAAAAAAAAAAACCCCAAACAAAAAAACCCACCTTTCCTTCTTGGATTTACGTATAAGTTTGGTATACCGGACTGTTCTTGAGTGAAGTGTGCATTTTGAATGTCAACTCTGACTCCAAACTTTTTTCTTGGCCCCTCTCTCTCCCTCCTTTCAGTGACGCAGAGAATGAGGGAGGGACGGGGGATCCAGTGGGACCTTGAGCTCTGGTACTCCCATTTACTGACGTAAAGTGATGTTTGGTAGGTTGCATGTTAGGCCTGATGTTGGTCATAGGTCTATTTCTTAATTTGCAGCAAAGTAGCCTGCTTAACCAGCCTTTATACTCTGCCCAGAGCAAATAGGATTGCTGTAAATATTCCACTAAATCAGTACATCCTTTCATCCTGTTGGAGAAACACATCTTATTGTGCTTTGATTGAGGATGTCACTGGTTTATAAAGCTTCTAAATGAAGTATCCATCTCGCCGGATAGTGTTTAGCACTGCTGTAGTCCATTACGCACAATACAAGCTCCGGATGTTTATACAGGTCTTCAAGTACCAAATAAATAATTTATCTGACATACACATCAAAAACTTGCATTAGCGACCACTGACTTGCATTGTTTAACTTTCTGGTTGGAATCAAAATCCATTAATGCGCCTAGATGGTCGTCTGCGCGTGTGTGCTTGGGGTGTCGGCCCGTGGCTCTTCTGAGGGGAAACGGAGCAGACAAGCGTCAAGAAGGAGGGAAGCAGACAACAGGTTGGGTCCCTGAACAAGGAACCTGAAACCAGGAGTGACACACTCTGCTGTCTGCCTCTAAGAGATTTTTGGAGACGCTGTCTGTCTTATCGGGACGTGATAACAGATGACAACAAGCTCCCACCCAAGCTGCAGGCCGGGTTATCCTAAAAAAAGTGTCATGTGTGACACTTTTGTCTTATGGCAGTCAGAAAGTCCCAATTCGTTCAGCCGGGTTTACATTTTCTGTGCATCTTCTCTGTCCTGTTAAATACAGGCGCACTGAGATATCAATTAAGCATACAATCATTTAGTTCTTAATTTAACAATGATAATTTGGGCAATATGACTTCAGCTGTCAGCAGTGAAATAGAGACAGCTGTGCGTAATGACGCGTAACCTACATGGGTTCCCCCTCGCACCATTGGCACTAAACCTCCTATTAATGCCTGTGGAGACGGTCACAGGAGACAGACAGTATTATCGTTTGTTTTATCTTAAGCGTTTAGCGCAGCCACGGGGTAAATGGGTCCCCCCGTCTCCGATCCAGCGATTGTGTTTATAGTTTTAAAGACTATTTGTGCGCCTCGCGAGCTGATGAATGGCCATAAAATCTTTCTCGGGCCCAGCGAGAGTCAACACTGGCCCGGCTCTTGTCGTAATAATTGGTTAAATAAAGTAAACGCGCTTCGGGGAGGCTCAGAACGTGATGGAAACGTTTTCGACATGATTAATTTAGGCTGCCCATGCGCAGTCAGAATGAACGTTTCCATATTTTTTATAGCATTAATTGCAAAAAGAGATTTAAAGAAAGGAGCCATATTATGAACATGCATGCAGAATTAAGTGAAACTCCCAGTCCTACTGGATACTAACTTATTCTGTCAACTGTAAATTGGACATGACAGGTCTGGCATGTGTTTCATATCCCTAATGCTTCGTCCTGCAGAAGCCCCGCGGTCCCCTTTGACCTGTCTTTCTGCAGCACATCTCCAGCTCAGATAAAGCTTCAGATAAGGTTGCTTAAAAACTTCCGCTGCAGGAACGTGTGGGTATTTTGAGGGTTGTGTGTTAGAGGGAGGCTCACTGCGTGTGTGTATGAGAGAGAAAGAGAAAGAAAGATAGCAGGATTTTGTGGGGTCTTAGACCGTTGGCTGGTGCTCTCTGGCCTCGAGGCTTTTGGATAATTTAAATCCTCTAACTGGCTGATTATTTGCGTTTTGCTATATAATAGTTAACAATTAGCTTACACTTTCCCCGTTAACTTTATTGTTTCAAATGTCAGAATATTGCAGTGGTGGACAGAGTAGACCGATACAATTAAAAATTGTCCTTCAGCTGACCTTAGCTGTGCGTGCATGTATATAAAGTCAGGTTTATTTTGCGAACGCTGAATGTACTAATGTAAATAACTTTACCAGTCAGTGATGAAAACAAAGGACATTTCTAGGAATTCTTCAAATAAAATAAAATTCAACATTTTATTGAAATTCGTGAGTCCAAATACTTTTATCCATTAATGTTGGGAAGAACAAAGAAATAGTATAATCTACATTATATACATGATATATTACACCAGCTATATTATATTCTATAATTTGTCTGTTATTCCAGTGGTTAAGTAAAAAATAAAAAAAGGAACCAAAACAAAAAACCCACAGAAACTACTGTTAATACATGTAAATATGCAGGTAAGCATGCACATAAACAATTATGGCATATATACACTAAAACACAAATATGTGGTCAGTTCTGAATAGTGCTTATTGAAAGACTTATTTAAAAAATAGAAAGCAAATATATACGAAAACTGTATTACTGTGCAAAGGTTTATGTCAGAGTCTGATCAGTCACACAAAGTCTGTTGGAAGACAGCAGCCCCAAACAAACAGGAGAACAATGCCTGCGGGAGATTTGGTCCGCTCCCTGCAGAGGCAAGATCTCAATATCATAGTCAGTCTGGGATTATGTGAAGAGACTGAAAACAATGAGAAATTGTGGCAAAGCTTTCCAAACTGCTTGGGATAACCTGCTTACCGAAAACCTTTGAAGACACTCTTTAGGAGAAATGAGTCCTTCTTTTTTCTTCAAGGGAAAGGTTTGTGACACTGCATCAGTTTAATTTTTTTAATCCATGTTATGTAGTTTATTATTAAGCTTTATGTGATTATATGATGTTTATTAATAAATACAAAATGTTAATGTTATTATTTTTAAATGCATCCTAATTATACATGTAGAGTATGAAACATTTACATAGCAACACACCCAAGTTTACACACTAGATACACATAAATGCAAATCTTTGTGAGGGACTGAAATCAAATCAAACTTTTGTCTTACTTGCTAGAAATAAAGGCAGAGAAAAGTGAATTAGTGTGGTGACTTTAACATGAAGGCTCTACCAAAGTATACTGGCAGTCAGAACAGCAACACACCCGAGTTCATACAGAGGTAAGGAATGGATGATGCCGAACTCTGTAACAGCTCTAAACTTCTTTGAAAGTTGCCATTTAATTAGGGGATATCTGATGTAAATTTAAATGTGAAACAATAATTTACATGAAGGAAAAAAAGAAAAAGAAGCACTGCTTGAGAATTATTTATTTAATTACAAAAAAAGCTCCTTCAGAAAATTTGGAATGTAAATTTGTCATAGTCTGTTGCTATATTTTCCAATCATTAACATTTTCATTACAGTTACATTTTCCTACTGTTACAGAAATGAAAACAATGAGTGACTTGTCCCATAGGAACAAGACATATACTGTGATACACTAAGTCAAAATCAAACTAATCCAACCAACCATCTAAGCATACAACAACATGTTATACTGCTCCAAAGGAGAATATTTTCAGCAAAAATCCATCAATTTCACATGAACAGCAGTTAGTTCAAATTTGTGAACCATTAAAAAAACGTTTAACTGAATATCTTCAAAGTCCCAAGACTCAGAGAGAGTAGTAGTTAAATTGAAATTCTGTATCCTGTATCCTAGTTCAGCATAACTGTAGTGTAATCTTTTTATGCAGAGACCACAGGCTGCTCCACCCTGAACTTATATGTCACGTTTTAAGGTAATTCATTGTAACTTACAACTGGATTTCAAATTGCAGTTTTTTCCAAAACATTTAAACACATCTCCAGAAACTGTGGCTCAGTTTTTCAATACTCCAAACACAGACTGAAAAGACTTAAAGAGTTTGTCAAAAATCCACACACCTCTTAACAAATGAAACACAGCACTCAACGGTGTGCTCTCTCTTCTCGAAACGAATTTCTTGCATCAAAACAACAGCCTATGCACAGCAATTATATGTCTGTCTTATAGAGTATCATAATAAACACTGACGTGATCATTTGATCTATGTTTTAGCTTCATGTGGCTATGCTACATATTTACATCCATACACAATTGAATGGTTCTTCCAATTGAGATGAACGGATGCAACATGAGTGAAACTAATTGGTAATCAAGGTGTTGTATGCCTGTGTCTCTAGGTGAACAAAGTGTACTAAATGATGCAGTTTGTGTTTGGAGATTTGCAAAACCTCCACAATTTTATTTGAGTGAGACCAGTGGAATTGTGCTTAGGGTTAAAGTGTTGTTAAATGAGTTTCCATTTTCAGAACTGTGTGCACAGTTTTTTCTGTGTTTAAAATATGTATCTCCTTAAAATTCAAATTACAGATGAGCCCTAAAGTATTTTCTTCTCCCGGTCTTAATATAACACATCACAGTTCTTGTGTGGCCCAGAAGACCTACAGTGTCAGATGCAGCTGAAATTCATATCACCACCTGTTTTTCCATCCTTGTTTTCAAGACTTCATTACATATTATGTTTCCTTGTGTACTTTCTTCTTCCCCCCATGTATAACCCATAATGGGTTATACAGTCCAATTTGCTTCCAGTTCAAGGTCAGGTCTTGGCAACTGCACTCTCATGCTGTGTCTCCATCCACGCTGCACCCTGGATGTTTCTCACAACATAAGTAAGAGAAGGGGACCTGATTATTATGTAGCTAATACTGGTGTGGTTTACTGATCAATAAGTCAAATCTAAACCTATCTCTTAATTTTAAGCTCTAAGACTTCCATGTGGTTCCTACAAGAAACAAAAAAAGTGCTTGCTGTCGTGATGAAGTGGGTTTTTATTAGTGAATTAAAGCAATAGAAGTCATGCTGTTGCAGGGATCATTCAGGGGTCAACACTGTCTCATTCATCAAGCGACACAAGTGTAACCATAAGCATCCGCTGATCCAGATTCAGGTTGTTGTAACTGGAAACTATCTGAATATGGCAGTGATGTTGAGTGCCATCTGTCTGTGGATCATTTATCTTTTTTTGTGATGGAGAGAGCAGCATCCCCTTTATCTACCCTCCATCCTCTCACCCTCCTCCCCCATCCCTCATACACACTCC